AAATTTACCCTTTTATCATTACTACAGCAACCACAACAAACAAGCAAAACAAAAGTAAAAAAAAATATTCATGCGATCTTTATAAGGAAATTTACACAATTAAACATTTCTATCTATCCCTTTTTATTTAGTTTATAATATTTAATTTTTATTTTATATTTTGGCCATTGGCAATTAATTACCAGGAACTTTTTCTTTGTGTGTGGGTGTGGGGGTTGTAATAGTTCTCTTGACCTTTTGCTGCAGTCATGGTAGACTTTCTGCTTGATTTTCTGCTCCATTGCATTCTCCTTGATTTTGTTGAGAYYTGGCCATTTCGGAAYTAGGCATTYGGGGATGCTTGGAAGGTTGTCTCTGATGTTTCGACCGAAGAGCAAATCAGCGGGTGACCTTCCGATCTCTAAGGGTGTGGCTYTGTAAGMTAATAGTGCTCTTGCCGGGTCACTTGCTTTCTTCAGAAGGATTTTGGCTGTCTGTACAGCACGTTCAGCTTGTCCGATAGACTGAGGATAACCAGGGYTGCYTGTTTCGTGTTTGAATTCCCAGTCTTTGGCGAACTTGGCAAATTCAGCTGAGTCAAACTGGGGCCCGTTGTCGGATCGCRGCTTCTCAGGTAWGCCGTGGCGTGCAAAGATTGACTTTAAAGCTCTGATGGTTTCACTTGATGAGAGTGAGTTCAGAAGACTGACTTCCCGGTACTTCGAGAAATAATCGACCACGATCAAATATGGRCGACCCTTCAGGAAACATAGRWCTGTTYCAAAGATCTGCCATGGTCGATCAGGCACAGGGGTAGGTATCAAAGGCTCTTTGGGATTGATCCTGTGTTCTATACACTTTCTGCATCGTTGTATCATGTCTTCTATTTGGCGACKCAGTCCAGGCCACCAAACTGCTCTCTTTGCTCTTTCTCGGCACTTAACTATTCCTTGATGTCCGTCGTAGATTCTTTCAAGGATCTCTATTCTCAATTGTGACCGGAGACTATCCTTTCACCTTTGACTAGCAGGCCATGTAKCATGGTTATCTCGCCTCTGTAGGTCCAATAAGGGTTAAGTGCGCTCGCGTAGTTGATTTCTTCCTGGCCATCCATCRTTGATACACTGTACTAGTAACCGGCACACTTCGTCTTGTTGTTGTTCCTCCTTGATACTCTTCAGAAAAATTCATCCTCGCTGTCCTGTGCTTCGACAGAGTTGAGTTCCTTCGTTTTACAAACTTTTTACGGCATTTGTGACACGTGACATCCTTTACGGGGCATTGGTTCCTTGCATGACTTGCGTTACCACAACGTTGAMAGATTTTCGGTTCCTTTTGGTCGGTCTGTCGATCTGCATGTCTGACATTCCGCGGTTTCCTGTTTGCTTTTCTTGTAATAGCATCCACGCTGGCTTTCAACTCACCGGCTTGGCTCGGGTTTCGTAATACTTGTTGTTTCTTGACGGTCTTGCTTTGTCTTGCGGTTTCGATCGCCTTCTCTAAGGTCAAACTAGAGTCAAGTCGGAGTTTTTCACTGAGCTTGGCGTCGGCTAATCCAACAACTATACGGTCGTGCATCAACTCACGCCGCAATRTTCCAAACTCACAATGTTCTGACAAAGTATACAATGCTGTAACGAAGCTATCTACGGTCTCGTGTGGCTCTTGCTTGCGCATGTTGAATTTAGCCCTCTCTAAGATAACGTTTCTCGTTGCAACAAAATWTTTGTCGAATTTCTCTCTAACACTCTGAATATTTCCCAGCACTGTCTTTCTTGAATGAAAAACTTTTCATGATCTCATCAGCTTCTCCGCCCATCGTATAAAGTAACATATTGATCTGCTGAGCGTCGTCTTTCTCGTGGCGAAGACCAGTCGCCAGTCGAATCTTTGGATCCACTTTACTCATCCTTCAGGGTTTCGAAAATCGAACTTAGCTGGCGGCTGTATTTGCGAACTAGCGGCCATTCTCGCTCCTTTCTTTTTTTTTTTTTTTGTTTTTTTGTTTTTTTGTTAGAGTTCCACAACTTCTGACACCATGTATTATTACTTATGGTACTACAGAGATGCGTACACAACAAGGATAGGCGTTCAAGAAGGCTTTATTGAATTACAACAATGTATCTTATACTGATGCTATTAAAGATTAACTACTAACGTCACAGGGGTRGGCTCGTGCCCCCTTGCTCTCTCTCCCTCAATATACAACTGTTACGTAACAGTAAAAGGGGCTATAATACCCCGGTTCCCACTAGTGTATATATAAACTATTTCCTGGATCTCCCTGGATAATTATCATTCTTGATTCGATTGTTACTTTTAAAGTGTGGGTTCATTATGTACTAGGCAATCTGTAGTAATTGTTAATTAGTCGGTATTGGAATTCCTATGCAAATACAAAAAGCGCATAGAGGGATCCAGGGGAGCGGTGTAGGAAATCCCCCCCCCCCAGTTGAACTGATATCTGATTATTTTACATKTCCTTCTTCTACAGTTTTGAGACAGATAATTCATCTTCAACTGCGATTGTGGATAAAGACTTCACCATTGTGAACAAAAGTCTGACGTTCCCTCCTGGGAAGAATAGGGTGTCACTTCAAATCAAGATTATTCATGACCGTGTAGCAGAAAGTCCTGAAATACTGGTACTGCGTATGATAAGTCTGGACGAGCAAATGGTGATAATCGGGAAAAATAACACGGCCAAAGTCAAAATCCTCGACAAGTTTGATAACGGTATGATATGATTTAAACTAGCTAAGAAGAAAGAGTTAGAAAACGTTAATGTTAGGACATGCATATGTACTTCAAGTTTTTGGTAAACTGTCTGCTCAACACTTACTTTTACACCTACTATTTATTAATATTATTATTTATGCATTATTCGCCGAAGGCGAAGTGATTGTCGGTGAATACTTTMCGAGCCGCAAGTCTTCACTTGAATTTTCGACTTGAATATCAGAGAAAAGACAGTGTGACTTTKACTCAACCAATTCGAGTAAGCGTCTCTTCCATCGTACATATTTTTTGGTTATAGATGTTTGGCAGGAACGTTTCCACCATTTTGTCTAACTTTGCATATATATTAGCCACAGTTTTTTGGTTCGAGTTGAGTAAATGACGTCATACCTCACTCGACCCATTCTTCTTGAGCCGATACGACGATCTTAATGGCAGACGGGAAAATGTTGTAAAATACTCACCATGCATTTTCCCTTTGAATATAAAGAAATTATTTATACAAGTGAATGTTGGAAGCGATTCTCGTCCAAGTAGCACTTTAACTCGTGATGCTTTGGTGTGTTTTGATTTTCACACCCCTGCGTGTATAATGCTGCACCTTTTTATCTGTTGAAATATTCTCGACCAATGAAAATCAGAGCCCTTTATAGAGGGGCCACTATTAGACACTCCAAGGTTAAGGGAAAAACTGTGGGTCGAGGTTCCTTTTTTAGGGTTCAAAGGTTYAAAGGTTGTTATTTCCACACTTGTCTTGTTACACACATTACTATAAACTATAAACATAGAAGCATTTATAGTGTTAGAATGCAGGACTACAACCCAAATGGGTTGATGAAGGAGTATCCTGTACCCTAGCAGTACCCAGATGACATGTAGTTCAAAACGGYGGAAAAGAAGGTTGTGTCATGCAAATAAGTATAGATTGCAAAGTCAGGCATTTGGATTAAATTGAATGCAGATAATACATACGAGAAACAACATTTAACAGAATATTAGTTCTACYCAGATATTAAAAAGCAKTTATAATGTTTTTTTAGACATCTCCTGAGMTGGACTTGCTTTGATTTCAAGAGGCACATAGTTCAAGATTGCCGCACTAGCATATTTCACGCCAAATTTTGTCATAATTCAAGTTTACATGGGGCAAATAGGGTTAATAAGACACTAYCTTGAAAAGATGTCCCCCCTGCTACAACGGAGCCAAAATACACTGCAATACCAACACGACTAAATGTGTGTCCCTCATCCTCGAAATGGCTAAATCTAAAAAATCATAAATATGATGTACATTAACGTTCTCTTTTTCGTCCTAGAAGAAGCAGCAATACAAAAACAAAAACAAGAACAGATCGAAGGTGGGTTTACCCAATATTCCGTTATATTATCATCCCTGTCCTTGCTCCAATTTCTCAATACTCTCCAATCTAAAAGCTTCATAACTAAGAGCAATCAAGATATTCTRTATCGCACGCTAAAAGTATGTTACCATGCAAATGAGAGGCGTATTCTCCCAATATATTCTGATCTGCCTTCTTTATACTAAAAMCGAATGATGCGTCAACACACATGCATCAATTACTCATTGCGTTTACTGTAAAGACAAGCAAAACATAAGGCGAATTTGACGACTGATCTGACGTTTTTCGAGAACAAGTCAAATGAGCCTGGCATTAGCWAGCATTTCTTATGGAAGTTGCCGCTTTAATTCATTTGTCTRTTGCCCGTCTTTATACATTCAGAACTTTCTCGTACCCAATGCTCTTTTCGCAGGCTTTTCGTTGAGAAGGGTGTGGGTACGAGAATGGATTCAGATCAGTTTATTTTTAGACGAACTTTTGTTAACTTATTCGTTACTCTACACGTTTTCATATGTAAAGAACTTAGAGTCACATAAAATAACGCCCTATAAAAAGTCTGCCCAAGTTCGTCCGGACGTATAATTCGTCYCTGAWATAAAAATAAATAAATAAATWATAATTAGATAGGTTCATTTTCACTGACCGATATTTYGTTTTGATAGATGAGAAACGACGTGATATCTACACTCTGCTGATCGTGGCTATCGTTTTGACTGTTTTGTTGTTTCTTTGTGGAATCGTTGTTTTTGCTTGTTTCATCATCAAGTAAGTATCTCCCATTTAGTCTCTCTCTAACAGATATATATATTTGTTGTTTGTGGCAGTTTTCAATAGTTATGTGGTAGCGCTACGCGCTTGCGCCATAAGGCAGTAGAAAAACTCAATCCATAAATTAGGAAAACGTTTCTTGACAACACAAGCTTTGTTGTTGTTGTTTTGGTTTKTTTTTTTTAATGGAGGGGGGAGGAAGTGCGGGTTGTAATGGATTCTAACAGTTACAATACTAAGAAGGTTATTGTAGTTACATGTATGAATACTGATAAAACACCACCAGACTTTCGCACACTCCATCATCCTCAGGAAATAGTGCTCGGTGTGTGAATGAATTCCACAGCAAAAAACATCGGGCATAGTCTTCATAGCAATAACGATGACTAAACACTGATTTCCGTATCCTGGTGATGCATTTTATTCATTAACCATTATTGGTGGTTTGTATCACTTCCCATGACAATAAAACTGACAAAAGACGTGGACACCATGTTGGTTGACATAACCAGATATTTTCTCAAAGTTAACCAACATGGTGGCTATTATGTCACATGCATAAGGAAAAAGACAAGGCCGCCATGTTGGTTGACATAGCAAAA